GGACACAAAAAAAAAAAAAAAAAAAAAAAAAAAAAAAAAAAAAAGAAAGAAAATATTTACAGATTGCCAATATAAGTCAATGAACATATAAATATAGGAAAATTTTAAGCAGATCTTAAACTTTTGATGCAAATTGAACAAATGTTTCATGTCAATTTGGATTTAAGAAATAAGCTTTTCAACAGATTTATTAATTTCTACCTCTTTCCAAAGAATTCCTCCAAATGAATGCTATCCCCAGAAATAGATCTATGTTAAGAATTTTGGATGCCAGAGGCTCTTCTCTGCTGTAATTCTGCTTAAACTCAGCAACCATCTGATTCCCCATTTGAGAATCTCTCTAGCCCAGGGCAAAAAGCAGAGAGAAAGTAAAGGTTTTTGCAAAGAGGGGATACTTCAGACCCCCAGAGAATGCCAAAGAAAAGCAACTGAATGAGAAATATAATTTTCTCGTCCTTCTCATCATCCCTCTAATTCTGAGGCACAGAAACCACATCCAGATGATGTAAAAGGAAACAAGCCTTCCAGTGGACTAGTATGTCTCTCTACTACCAACAAATTCTAGTGTTTGGAGATACCGGAACCTATCGCTGACTACTCCTCGGGAGCTGCACATAATTATTTTACACAGTACAATCCTTTAGCCATAGCCTGTTAGCTGGCTCCTGCGCATAGGGATATTAATAATTGCCCAAGTTATTCACCAAATGTTGCCCTAGATGATCTATTTCACTTCATAACATAAAGAACTTCTCAATGAAAAAATAATTTTTTCAACAGAGTATCTTTCCTAACCCCTGTCACTGCTGACTGGAAACAGGTTCTAACACTAGAGTGGCAGGAGGAGAGCAAGTATATTCAGTCAGTTCTGACCTGAAGGAAATCAGAAAAGAAAAAAAAAAGACTAAACTTCAACCACTAAAGAAATAGTTTTTCATACTTCTTTTACTACAACCCACAGGATGATACATTTTATGCCATGAACCAGTAAATAATTATATAAATATTAAAATACATAATTTAAATATGAAATAATAATTCTCCTTACTATGAAGTACACTCTGTTATTTTTAAAAATTCTATTCTATTTGAATTTAGATTTCTTAAAATGCTCATCAGAATCCAATAAGCTTTTTGCTTCAGTTAATATAAATCCCTAAAGAAGTTTTAACTCACTCTGTATAGACTTGGAATAAATTTATTAGCTTAGTAATTAATAAATCACTTCAATTATACTAATCATAAATGGTTTTTAACATTCTCCGAAACACATCATATCACATGTTCAGTTACTACAATAATTTTCCATAGAATGATATAATAGCATTTTATTCATGAATATTGCTACTTAGCATCCTTTTTGCAGAAATACATTTCAAAAAAGTCTCCAGGACCAATGCAGTTGACACACCTATGGCCAGCCCCACAGCCTTCTTCTAAAAATGACCACCCTTTTTGTCCCCACCCACACAAGTCAGGAGGAGACTCCTATATGAAGCTGCCACCCAAGATGCATGCCTGACCATATAGGAACCAATCTTTTCACTAGAAGGTAAGTCACATTAATGCCTGAATGAGAGTAAAAGTTCATAGCTCCTGCTACAGAAGAAGCAGGAGGAGACCAGGTACTGTCCCTTCAGAGGCCCATTTCAAGGTTTTTGGTTTTTTTAATTTTTGTTGTTGTTTTTTGTTTCGACTTACCATTTTTTAAGTTAGTTTGTTTTTGCTACTTGAAATTGAACAAATTAATTTTGACAACAGACAGTTGGAAATGGTCAAGTACAATTATCCAGATAAATTAATTCCAAGTAATAAAGACATTTTCTACAGTCTACGTGTTCATAATAAAATAAAACAAGCAGTTATCAGACAAAAATATTTGAGTACTATATTCTATTGTGTTAATTTTTATTGTTGGTTCAAAAGGTATCAACTAATGAATTCAATGAATTCCAAATTCTGTGTGATATTTTTAAAAACAATTACTTTTTTATATAAACTCTATTATTTCTAAATAATTTCTTAAATGTTTTAGTCTAACTTCAGGAGGCAAGCTCTCCACAAAAACATTTTCGTGGAGATGTTTAAACCATTAAACTACCATCTGTCCTCCTATTTGCAGATTTTTAAACTGCACACTATCCATCTGTTTTCCTAGCTGGTGTAGAACGATTCACTAGATATGCAATACTCAACTAACTAAGATTTTATAATCCAAGATAATGTTAGAAAAGTTAAGAATTTCCCAGATACTTTTTTTTCTTTATCAGATGTAGTATGTGACAAACAACCTGAAGAAGACTATTATATCCAAAATCTAATTACCAACAGCTTATCAGTAGTCATTAACATGATTTAGAAAAAAATTAAATGCCTTTGAAAATACACAATGAAGAATTATCACATTAAAATAATAATAATAATAAATTGTTCAGAAACACCTTCAGGTTTAAAACTGATTTGGGGTCATACTTTAATAGGTTTTTGGGGTGGTACTCTACAACTCATCTTACTTCTACATTTGGTTATAAGATATGTCTATGCATGCACACTACCCACCAATCTACCTATACCCCTTCCATTTATGTATGAACAAAGAGTTTTTAAAACATGCTCACTTGCCATGAGTTGGAAAGGGATTCTATTGTACTTTTTGCGATTTGTTTTAAAATAAATATTTAGGGTTCCATAGAGACCATATAAGTAAATTCCAGAAATGTTAACACTATGTGAAAACCAAAGTTACAAATAAAATTTTTAAAATACCTTTCACTTAACAAAATTATTGTAGAAAGCTATATAACAAGATTCTTGCCATATCTATTTGGTTCAGAATATCTCAGATCACTAGCATACTTTAACTTTTAAATAACTACATATGAGCTTAAATTTAATGTGAAGTAAATAGAGTAAATAAATTATTATTGACAGACTCAGAATCATATCTCTGTTGCTGTATGCTTCTCTTTTTAACAATAAGAGGCACTGAAGCAGGGCATGGAGTTGCTCTACATGTCAATTAACAGGGAGGAAAACATCCAATTTTTCCTCCTCCACAGAATGAAATTCACAGAGAGACTGAATTATAATTCTTTTGCCACCACTTGTTGACAAATCTGTTTAATGTTTTGTAATAACAGAATGTGTAAATAACATGTCATGCCATAAACAATATTATGAAGCTAGCAAAACTCAATTATGTAAGTTTGACATTTACAAGAGACAGGCTAAACTACTCATTAAGCTAGTCTAGAAAGTCAAGTATTTTTTATTATAAAACTTCTGAAGTGTTTGCCATTTGTCAAATATTATGGTAGAAAGCCTCCTGATAATAAATAAGAACTGATTATTTTCCAAAAATAAAGCACCTACAAGTAGACTGTGCTTTGATTTGGATAACTAAACATTCTACCACCTTACATTTTTCCTTTCTTTTAAAAGATTTTTACTCGACTTCATAATTTTTACTTATTACTCTGCAAATGCTACCCTAGGCGCACTGAGTGAGAAGAAAATGAACAGAAATTCATCTTAATTTGTAAGTTACTTGGGCCAAATGTACACTTTTTTTTTTAAAATGGAAGTTAAATTCAAATGTGATATGTG